TTGGTATCCCATGCAACTGTACTATCTCTTGAACATAAACCTCAGCAAATATCTCTAAGGTATAGTCTGCTCTAACAGCTAGGAAATAGGCTGACTTAGTCAATCTGTCCATAATCACCCATATAGCATCATGATTTTTCTAAGTATGAGGCAATCCCATTATAAAGTCCATAGACACGCTATAACATTTCCACATGGGGATTTCTAAAGGTTGTAGCAACCCAAGTGGCTTTTAGTGTTCTATCTTAACTTTCTAACATGTCAAACACTTAGAGATGAACTCAGTCACATCTCGCTTCATTTTATGCCACCACTATCGCTTCTTCACATCTTAGTACATCTTAGTGGCACCAGAGTAGATTGTTGGATTACTCTTGTAAACTTTTGACAAGATGGTCTCTCTAATCTTCTTATCATCAAGAACACACAAACAGTCATGATACAACACAAAACCATCATTACTAAAGCTAAAAGTTATCGTTCGGTTCTCTGTAATGTTTTCCTAAATTTCTAACAAGTACTCATCTTCCAACTGTGCTTGTCTCAGCTCTTTCTAAAACTCACTTGTAATTACCATGACATTCAAGTTATATGATGCAAAGTCAGGGACATTCTTGTGCTCATTAGAAAAATCCTCTAATATCTTGTGCTCTTGCATCATCAAGAATGCTATGTGTAGCATCTTCTATAATCCTCTTCACATATGAGTGGTCTCCTTGGTCCTTCATGATGGAGTTAAACTTTATGCTCTAGATCATCAATACTTCCTAGCCTTATACAGAGTCTACCCTAATCTAGGGTAACCTTGTAGATCATTCCATATCCTAGGTCTGTCATGGTAGAGTCAAGCTCTACATTTTGGATCACCAAGACTTCTTAGACCTCCTTACGGTAGGGTTATGTCCCCCTACCATAATCCAGGGTATACTCGTGGATGCGATGCATGTCAATGCACATGCCATCTCAAATTCATTTCAATCGATACTGGCACACATGCATGCATATTCTTTCACAATGTTGTTGCTTTGCCAATTCACAACATAATGCACATAGTTATATCAAAATACTTGTAAATAATTTTACAAATAAACAAGTAAAAGGGTTACTCCAATTACCTTTAATGCTTGCTACTAAGGGTTATCGATCATACAGATTCCCAAGTATGTAGCTTCCCAAGAGTAATACCACAGGTGCTCAATCTACATAATACAATACCCCACCATCAATTCTCCACACTTAACATAGGCATTGATTTGACTAAAGTGAATCCCTTAACATATAAAATAGTCCAATTGAACCCTTTTTAATTTATACATATGTTATCTATAATGATTAGTCCTATAGGCTATTTTAATAATCATAACAACCTTCTAACTTACTTATTCACCTAATTTCTCAATTTCAACCTAACTTATCGGCTATTTTGAGCCTAAACTCTCAAAGCTTAACTATTCAACTTTATACTAGTCACAAAACCTTAGTTCCATATTCGATAGTCCATTTTAAAGCTTTCTTTTAGATCACAACACCTTAAAACTTCTTGATTAAATTTCTCAATTGATGAAATTGAATGAAAATGGGTAGAAATGAAGCTTAAGGTTGTGTGATACTTACCCAACAAGTCACTAATTGAATCAGACTCCCAAGCTCTAAATATTGCTTTCTCTAACAAAGTTGACCTTTTCCTCTTGTCCAAATGAGTTTCCAACACCTCTCCTTCTAATTTTATAAGCTGATCATGTCAGCTTTAAGTGATTCCTGCATAATGCACCATAGCACACATGGCTCCCACTGTGGCACGTGGCACAATGAGTCCAATCTCACTTGTGCTAGCGTGTTATGCATTAGATTATCATTCTATCCTTCAATCCTATTAATACCATACCCAAACAACACAAAACACGAACTCAACTTCCAAACCATAATCAATCCACTAATTACTAATTTAACCCTAATTAGCAATTAGTTCTTGGGATTGAAATTCAAGATGTTATACAAAACATGAGTTTTTGTAACCCTTTTAAGCTCCATGAACTTTTTCCTCCCCCTTAGAGCATTCAACAGTAGCTTCTTGATCATTTGGCCTAGATCTTTAAAAACAAGTTACTTCCTTCTTCCTCCATACTTTTTAACAGTTTTTGTAGGCGAGGACTACTTAGATCAACCATTTCTTGTTCTAGAGTCATTTCTCCCCTATTTATCAGTGTCTTGGTCGAGATCTACTTGCACATTGAATTGGGTCCCAAATATAAGCTTAGGTCCTCTATCTTGATGTGTTGTTTGATTATTAGTTGAATTTCATGCATTTTTGGATCGTCTTGCATCTTGTCTTAATCTTATGAAGTCTCTAAACTCCTGCTCTAGTAAGTTTCCATTATCATTCAATGGGCCCCCTGTATGCTAGTTCTAATTCCCTTTTTCTCTTTCATGGGTGTTTGTAGCAACTAAATCAAGTTCATAATTTTTATTTGAAATGATCCCACCATTCCCTTTCACTTGCTTTGAGGTTTGATTCTTTAGATTGTAAGTGTCATTGCTTTTGTTGTGGCTATAGCACCCACATCCAAAGCAGATTAAATTTAGGCTCTCATACTCTACATTATAAAACTCATCTCTAATAAGGAGTTTGGGAACAAGTTTCATTGCAAATCCACTTCCACACTTATTCTCAAAAATTTGCTTCCTCGATTTTGTGATTCTTGTCTGTAGAGTCAACTTCTAATAAAGAATTAGAGTCTACCTTTAATGTTTTGCCTATGTAGTTCCCTGACCTCCAAAGGATTTCTTTGTCATAGCATTGTATAATATTCGTTACTCTAACTCATAGATCAATTTTGCCTAATATGTTAGAGTTTAGGTTGAAACTGGGAGACCACCTTTGAACTAGAATGCAATGACCAAATATTGTTCAGGGGCTACCATTGAGTATTTTGTTATAGGTAGAATGATCTTTAGTTCTAATTATATAGTAGCTATTAACAAACCAATCAATTCAAAATCTTTAAGCTGCCACATTTTTGCTAACCTGAGTTTGAGCAATTTAGGATTGAATTATTGTCCCAGTGTGTTGATAACAATAGCATCCATCTAAGGCATGCATATTTTCTTCCATTCTTCATTTGAGATCTATAGAGTAGGGTATTGATCCATAAATTTCATAGTTCTTTCAGATGGTGTCTACCTTGCTCTAATTCTTTAGCAAGAGTTTTGTTTTTGTGTTTAGTTTCTCTCCCTAAATGGATTCCATAGCAGCCATTATAGCCAATCAATGATTCTTTATAAGAGTTAGGTATTTTGGCTCCTTGAATCATTATTGTTGATTTTTTTGGTTGAACATGATTTCCTAGAACTTAATTTAATAGAATGTCCATTAGGCTGTTCTTGTTGTTAATTGGTTGCTTGATTTATTAGATTGATTGGAGCTACATAGTTGAATCTGCATTTTTGATAGTTGATGGTCTTCTGAATGTTTGTCCATCATTTCATCGTCAAGCTTAGAGATATTCCTATTGAGCAGATCAATTTCTTCTTTGAATGCAGGAGGATTCATAATTTCCTTTTGAGAAGAAGCAGAGAAGTTGAAATTTGGATCATGTTAAAGACTGGAATTCATAAGAATTAGTAAAAGAAAGGCAAACTAGAGGATGAACGTTCTCTCCAAAAATCTAAAAAGAAGGTGGAGCTTCTCACTCTAAACTTGTATGGTGTTTTGCAGCTTCTTTGTAATTGCACGTGCATTTTAACTCAATCGGCAAGAAAAATATCATAAGGATTAGAAAAAACTTGAGATGATGGGGTTTTTTTTTTTTGGTCAAAAAGGTCAATGATTCAAATCTTGATATTGACATGCATATAAATCTAAGAAAAATGTAATATATTCGCTGTAAGCCACACTATTTATAAATTATTAACTTTGTGACTTATATATTCAAATTGTGTGCAATTTATGCGCTGGATACATGCCTAACTCTTAATTGTATTATCAATTTTTTATATTATTTAATCCCCAACTGTCGAATTGATCAATCGACCTTACATATAAGCCAATTGATCTCAATGAAAACAATGTCCTATCCTAATATTATATATATCATTATATCTCTCTGATTATTATTTTGACTTTCTGACTCTGTTTTCTCTCTCTTTTTTCTGTTAATATAAGCTCATATTTTTCTCCAAAAGAAAACAAAAAGAAAAACATTATAGCGAAAGCTGAGTGTGTGAACCCCCCTGCTATTTTTTTTTTGGGCCAAAAAAAATTAAGTAAAGAAGCATTTATCAAAGTACTATTATATTACATATTGAATTCTCGGAAAACATATACGCCGGCCGTTATAATTTGTTTTAATTTTTTAATTAGCTCCCTATAATTTTATTTGTTGGAATTACATCCTTATACTTTTACCTGTTAAGATCATTAGTCCTGTTTGTTATTAAGCCCGTTAAAATGGTTTAACGCATTAGCGATGCCCATGTCATTGCCAAGCTGGATTTAATATTGCAGGGCAGATTGTGAGGTGGACAAAAGGTGCTGCCAGGTAACATTTATTTGTTCATTGCTTTTCACCTTGGCTCTGAATTTTGTGACTTTATTTCATTATAATTTATAAATGCGCCTTTTTTTTTGAATTCAAGTTTTTTTTTCATGGCCAAAAGAATTCAAGTTTTCAATCCTAAATTAATTAAAACAAATAATAAATTCATCACAATAAAATTATAAAATTGAAAGCCGAACTTGTAAATTTCTGAAATTTAACACTTTTGATTTAAGTTGAATTAATTTATCTTTTTAGGATCTCTCTATCATTTTTCTAAAAGAAAATCTATTTAATATTACCTGGCAACAATTTTAATCCATTTTCCCCATCCAACATGTCACATTTAATCCTGCTTGGCAATGACATCAGGATCCACGCATGGTGTTAAACCAGTTTAATGGGTCTAATTCATGAAGGAAATGACTAACAAGCTTAACAGGCAGTGAAAATATAAAGGCTCAATTCCAACAAATAATAAAACTATAAGAATTAAATTAAAAATTGATACGAACTACAAGAGTCCCGAAATATATGCTTTCCTTTGAATTTTTCGACATCATAGAGTTATTTTTCAACAATAAGATATTCAAACAACTTCAACAGACACTTCATCTTTGTGGTTTTTTTTTTTTTTTCCTATTTTCCCTTTTTCTTTACAATTATTAACAGTCATAATTAAGAATGAGAAATTCAAAGACCAGCAGTGAAAGGCACACCAGTGGCTGGTAACCATGAACTTCCAGAAAGAAAGCGATTAACAGTGAACTGTGAGGCCTCAGAAGCACCAATCACTCGGTAACCCTTCCACTTCACCCTATTTGCAGTGGAAGAACCAGATCCTGTGTTTGCATACTCAGCATAATACAATGTGTCCAAAGCAAAATTACCACTCCACTGCATCCACCCTGCTGGGTCAATCAAACTTCCAAGAGAACACTTTATGAAAACCGTCCTAGAATACTTCTTCCATGGCCTTCCAAGGTACGCCTTAACGTTGTTAGAGTTGAAGTCCGATGAACCTATAACCTTAGAATTGTGAATGATAATGCCAGAGTTTTGATTCGGATCGGTTCGACCTTGAGCTGTGAATGTGATGGTCTTTTGAGGAGGAGTTCTTGCATAGAGATTGCAGTTTTGCAAAATAACAGCTGCGTTACCAAAGATGAAGTCAACTGTGCCATAAATATCACATTCTCTATAGAATTGTCTCTCGGAATGGACATAGAGTGTGTCTTGATATCCCTCAAAGCTGCATCGATAAAACACTGAGAGATCTGATCCTGATCTGAATGCCACTGCTTGGTGGTTTGATGGTCCAGCTGTATTTCTAAATGTGATGTCTCGGGCAATAAATCCATCTCCAACAGCAGCTGCACAAGTCATATAGAATCAAGATACTAAAAATTGAACCAGTCATTAAACTGGTCAAAATATTAGTTTGAGGTTTAATAATTGAAATCATTATCAAGATACCAATTTAATGGTTTATTAATTTAATCAATCGAGTTAATCTAGATTTCTATACTATGTATATATAATACATTTTTTATATCAACTTTTCTGTGCCACTTTATTCCCAATTATTTCAAATCCATTATTAAGCGGGTGGCCAAAAATAAAATCTATTATTAATCGCTGCCCACCAAAAACTGAATGTATTTTATTAAAAGAAAAAATACCAATCAAAGACCACTAACCAAAATTTATATCTATCAAAAGTCGGTTATTATTAAAATTCGAATGAAAAAACAAGCTCAAATAGATTACTATTAGAATAAGTTGTTAAAACTTGAATTGATACTTATTGATAAAAAACTAACTTGAATTAACAAACATTCATTCGAGTTTTGATAATAATTAATACTTGATTGACATAAATTTTAGTCAGTAATCCTTGATTGTTATGTTTCCTTATGAAAGTGATAATTTTTTGCTAGGCTTATATCCATTGTTTAAAAAAAATGATAATTCCTTTGTTGCAAAGAAACTAGAGGGACGCCCCTAATTAGCTTCCCCAAATGAATATAAGAAACATTAAATACTTCCTCCATTTTAAAATACAAGAGAGTTTCAATCCACTCACACCGTTTAAAAAAGTCAATTAATTTTAATAATTTGGTCTAAAATTAAAATGTTTTTTACTAAAATGCCATTATAATTATTTTTTACTTTTTTTTCTAATTTAGTACTACTATCCATTCATGACGGATAGTTTGAAAAAAATATAACTAATGCTTCTTGAAATTTATAGTTTTGCTTGTAATAAAAAATCTATTACTAATTGTAGCACAAAAACTGAATGTATTGATAAAAATGATAATTTCTTTCCAGGTTTATATTCATTATTTATAAAAATGATAATTCCTTGGATGCTAAGAAACTAGATGGACGTTCCTTCCCCAAATGAATAAACGAAATATTCCCTACCTTGAATTGTTTTTATTAATGGAACATGTCTGTTTCTGTCAATTAATTCTATGTGCATGCACGCTGCTTGGTCAACGACAGCTAGCTTGGCTTATTTAACAACACTTGAGTTTTGAATGACACAGTGACGGATCCAGAAAAATTTATTAGAGGAGGCAAAATTTATGCTAAATATGAATGTTAATTATTTTGAAGAAAATATAATTCTAATTATTAATAAAAATAATATATATATATATATATATGATAATTTTAAAAATATATATTAATGTCATTTGCATCATAAATTTATTTTTATAATAAATATGAGTAAACAATGTTTTTAAATATGTATGCTTGATAATTTTAAAGAGATTATGGGGCAATTAATTTTTTGTGGGGGGCAATAATAATTTTAAAGGATGGGCAAGTTTAGTTTTAACTAAAACTTTTTATTTTTCTAGTGGGGGCAATTGCCCCGTCTACCTCTAATGTAGATACGTCCCTGGAATGACACCAGACAAAAAACTAAACATTAATTTACACTGGTGATTAAACTCGTTGCTAAGAGTTACTTGCTCGATAAGTCACCAAAATCAACAAAAATTTCAAATTTTATTAACTTTACTTTAAAATTTAATAAATTTTTATCTCAACTTCCTAATAATAAGGATAAAAAATTATTTTTCTAAGCATGTAATAAGAGCAAAAAGGTAAAAATGAATATAGAAAATAGTAAAGTACCCTATAAATAAGACTAAAATTAATCTTCTTTTTTTATTCTATAAATAAGAGAAAAAGAGTAATTAAGTCGTTCGTGTTTTGTGTGAATAGTTCATGTCCGTCTTTTGTCAAAACTAACAAAATTGTCTTTTCACTAATAATTAAAAATGTTGAAACCAGCATTAGCTAACCAGATCATCCTAACTTCTGTTGATTATGTGAACGGCCATTTGCATGGCCAACAACTCATCATTGATCATATAAAATTATTAGTACAACTTCAATGAATGAGTCATAGAAGAAAAGCTCCTAAGAAGAGAGAAGTATGATTATTTTATCTAATACATAAAGCTCAATAAATAAATATTAATAATATAGAGTCTTCCCCCTTTCTTCTCTAAATTAGTATATATATCTTCTAAGCAACTTATCGCTTCAACTTACAAAATAAATATTAGAAATATATCATTATATACATACTCCCTCATGTTCCTATTATAAGGTACCTTCAAATATATTATTGGAACCAAGGAAATAATTAAGTTATTAAATTTCTCTGAAAATATTATATTCTCCCTCATAGTTAATTGATTAGAGATAATATTGCAATAACTATGTATTAAAGATCAGAAAATACTTCTAGAATCTGCCTATATTAGGGATCTGATGGAGTATACTCTCTAGATTCAAAAATATAAGGCATTTTTTGGGGAGTTGAATATTAAAAAATGTAAGATATTTTTAGTTTTTCGAGATGTAATCATTACTTTTTTAAAAAAAATATCCCTATTACTGAATAATTTTATATTTATTATAGGATGTTTAATATAGATATGAAAAGATATAGTTAGTTTGAAAGTAGATAACTACTTTATTGGGAGTTAAGATTCAATTAAAAATGCCGTACATTTTTTAGCAGATGGAGTATATTTATATACATATGGTATTGATTCTAATACAAATTAGAGCATTATATATTGTTAAGCCTAAATAAAGGACCTCTCTTAAATTGGTTTTGTAATCCCATCCACAATATTTAATAAGATCATGACGTAGATGTTCACCAACGATTTTGTTCACATCTATGAATAAAATTATGTACAGAATATTATTAACAAATGCATCAATAACTCAATTAGTTTGGATTGGAAGATGAATAAAATAAACCAATTTTTCTACTTACCAACTGTGGCTGAACGGAAGGTTGTGGTACCTCCTCCAACACTTTTGCTACCCGTGATGATAGTTTTCCTAATACCATCTCCAACCAACATAATATTATTTCCTGTTACCTCAACTTGTTCATTGTACACTCCAGCTTTCACATGTATGACATACCTGATGTCAAATAATACTAAAATAAATTAGGATAATTACCTTATAACATGCAGAGGTAGATCCATAGAAGTTTTAGATAGAGTTAGGCTTTGAAGTTTAAAAGATTTTTTTTTTAATTTAAACTTATTCGGGCTGCCTAAATAAATTTGGGCTAAGTTTGAACCCAAATGGGTTTAATGCCATATATCCAAATTCTTTTTTATTATTAGTAAAACAAACTTAAAATAACAAAAAAATTTGAAAATCTTAATTTTCTTCAAGATAAAAATTGAAATTGACTAAATAAAATAAAATAATGTTTAATAATTCAAGTATTCGAGCGAACTTGAAAACTCAAGATATTAGGGTCAGGCTTTGTTATATAAGATTTGTTACATTTTTAGGCATTTTAAGCTCAATGTAAATAAACTTAACCCAAATTGAACTCGGTTCGCTCAAATTATTAATGTTTAGTGAAGAGAGAATATACTAGTTGAAGAGAGAGTAAGTAGCTTGGAGAGAGAAGCAACCCACATGAAACACAATAAAGGCAAGCAAACACTTCCTCAGGCAAAATCAATACATAAATCCAATGACAAAAATGACTTTATTAGCTTAAATAGGATCACTAATAACACGTATGCTTTAATTTGTGAGTTGGAGTCTCTTCTTCTAGTATATTCAAATTGAATATTTCAGTTTATTATGATTCAATAAGACTCAATCCATTTCAAATTTTTTTAATATAATATAAAAATTACTTAATATTTACAATATTATTTTAGTCAAGAATTTGTGATTAATTAATAAATACAAATCCACGATTATTCCAATACCTTCCCTTGTTACTCTTTGGTGCAGCATTTACTGCCTCCTTCACGGTTTTGTAATTCCCTGAACCGTCTGTTGCCACCACGACATTCGCTTGAGAAGCCGGAGAAGCCGCCGCCTGCAATAGTTTCCGGTCATGTGGCTTAACCCACGACGGGAAACCATCGTCGTTGAAACTCGGTGCAGAGTATGGAACCTTGTTAAGAGACAAGGCATTACTTAGCAACTGAGTAACATTGTCGGACATCAAAGGCAGAACATATTCTGTAACTCCAAGGTCATAAAACCCAAACATGCAAGTTTCAAGGTTGGTCAAAGCTGTGCTGAGCCATGTCTGAGCATCGACTTGGGTACATTCTGCAGCATTAGGATTAATGGTTTTGATGATCCTGTTGATTGTGAGCTCATAGAGCTCAAGGCAATCTGACCAAGCAGCTTTCTCACGTGCATTTCTACACTTGGGACCAAGCGAACGAGTCTTGGTTAAGCCCTTTTTAGCCCTATCCAGAGCAACGTTGACTGAAAGTTTGAAGAAATCTGAATTTTGCTTGATGGGTTTATTATTGTAAGTTTTGGAGGTCAAGAAGTAGTACTCACATGGTTGAGGGTTTGGGGTTTGGCTGCACCATGGTTTCACTTCATCCAATGTGTAGCCATTAGCACAATAATAGAGAAGTAGAAAGGGAAGAAGAAGAAACGCTAGTGAGCGAAAAACAGCCATTGGAAATATTAGCATAATAATTCTATGGCTTGTGGGACAGAAAGAGAAGAAGTGGGATATTAAGACGAAATGGTTTTTGATTGTAGGATCTTCAAAATTGTCCTGCCTTTTATAGAGAGAGAATGATCCCACCGATCTTTTTTTTTTTTTTAATACAAACGTGGAATACTATGACAAATTTTTTATTGGAATATAATATACATACATATATATCATTTCCAACATATTTCATCAAAGCTAAGGAAAATTTCAAACTTTATTAACTTTGTTTTAAAATTTAAATTTTCACCTTTACCCCTAAAACATATTCTTAAATCTCATTATCAATATTTTTCTACTCAAATAATTTAAGAAGGGCAAAAGTATAAAGATAATCATTGAAAATTAGCAAATGGATAAATAGGATCAAAATTTTCTTTTTTCTCTATTTTGTAAATAGGACCAGTGGAGTATATACTTCCTTTAATTCTATTTATAAGTCACTTCTAGCATGATTTAGTAAATCAAGAAAAAAAACTTAAACCTCATTAACTATATTTTAAAAATTAATAAGTTTCCACCCCTAATGAGTATTGTTTTTAATAATTTTTTCTAGTATTTAATAAAGATAAAAAAGTAAAAATGAATATAAAAAATAATAAAGTACCCAAAATTAAATAAAAATTAATCTTCTATCTTTATTTTATAAATAAGATGAGAAAAGTAGATGCGCATTCATGGTGAATGGTGATTTGGGGGCCACTGTTTATGCTTTAAATTACACCTTGTCTTTTTTCCTCTCTTATGTTATTTATTTTTTATTTATTTAATTTGTTTTTCATTAGATGTGCCAGCATGTTTCATGACAACGATGTAAAGGCGCTTATAGAACAAAGAACAAGTTAATAAAGTGGTTATTGTGTTTGACTTTTCATACATGAAAGGCCAGTGATGTCAAAAAAAAAAAAATTGTAATAACCTGCAGGCGCCGACAAAACGCGTTATAAGCTTAGAATATTTATGCATATAATTATGTCTGAACAAATATTTCTTTATATAATGCTCAGAGTTACAGTTACATCCAAGAGCTAAAATCAAAGTTTGTCAATAAGAATATATTTTCAGAACCGGTCAGAAACTGACAGTAATAAATGTATATGTCTGATGAATTGCTTGGTATTGGCACTTTTTGGCCTTAATGTGTGAATGATTATGAGTTTATAGAATATAAGTATCACCTTTCTATCGGATAACAGCTAACAAGGGGCCTATATATATATATATTGGCTTACATGCTTATTAACAATTCAATATTTATTATGGATATTCACAAAAATAGAAGAATTTCAATGGAAATAAAATGAAAACAATTTTTAATATAAAGAACAATAACATCAAACAATTATAGACTAAAATGCCTAAAATGTGTTGTGTGTCTGTGTGTTTCATGTAATAAAAATTACACAAACTTATTTTGAATTTTACTGTTTTTATGTACGCACACTTAATCTTTTAGAGAGTCACATACTTTACATTCAATATTTTTTCAATAAAGAAATTGAAATTAAACTAAAGTGCAAAAGTAAGTTTTGTTTTAAAAAGAGGTTGATTTGAAAACAAAATGTTTGTACGATTAATTACAATAAAACCCAGAGAAACTTAATGTAAATGAAACAAATATTTTAAAACTCAAGTCTATTATATATATATATATATATATATCATAGAAGTTTGTTTTGACACAATAATAAAAAAAATAGTTTTTTATAGAAATTATTCATTTCGATTGTTTTATTTCTAAAGAACGTAATAAAAAATACCTAGTTTGTTGTTTTAATTCGGTGATGATCTTTAAGTCCCAGATTAATTGATTGTATAGTATATTTTTCCCTTGAAATGTTCATTTTGCAATTTTCACTATTTATGATTGCGTTTATAATAATAGTAATAATGACGATAATAATAATAATCTTATAATTTAAGGTGGTGAATCACGCTAGGAGCAGAGCTCCAACTCCGACCTTCTTAACCAAATGCCTCAAGCTGTACTCTTGCGTTGTTTGCAATAGTAAGCTTATTTTAATAATACTCCATTATTAAATTGTGCAACTTAATTAGATGATTGGAATCTTGTTGTAAATTAGGTGGTTATAAATTAAATGTTTATTGATTTTTTTTAGACCAAAGAGGAGAATTATACAATAAGGGATGGATAAAATGGAATCCATTCGAATATTTGATATCTGATTAGATCAAATTAAAAAAAGTTGGATAATTATGGATAAATTGGATAAGTTTTGACCAAAATTGTTGAGCTCAGCTTGGTTGTTGGAAAACAATAATAGAGAACGAATATCCTTGGATGAACTCACTGATTACATAATAATATATTCCCTACTGTTTTAAATAAGTAAATAATTATTTAATATTTTTATTTTTGGTATAAGAATATGTTAAATTTGTAGGACAAAACTTAGATGCTTAGCCTTATATACTTAATATGTTTTTATCTAATCAAATTAAAAAATAGATTTTGATGTATTAATAATATTTATAACAATTTTTATAGAAAAAATAATATATAAAGGATTCATATGTCAAGATTTAATAGGAAACAAGCATTTTAAATATATAAGGTTAAGTATATACATTTTTTCTTTTTAAAAAAATCTAAACTATCATTTATTTACAATATAGTTCACAGTCCATCAATGCATTAACATTGATCAAGAAAATTGGTTTGATATCTTTCATTATAATTATTCAATTTTGTGAAAAAAAAAAGTTATAATAGTTGAGAGAAACTCCGTCATTTTAGTTTGCTGGTAGCATATATGCATTATTAATGTAAAAGAATACTCTTATGGTTTTATTTATATAAAAGACAGTGGGAGAATATTTATTTTGGTTTTATTTATAAGAATCTCAATGGTTATTGTATATATCTTTACCTTTTTGCTCCTGTTAAATGTTGGGAAGGTTATTAATTGGTAAGGTTAAAGTATAATTTTGATCCTCTAATTTTATATGAGATTTTATTTTAGTCCATTAATTTTATAAAATATATTTTTAGTTTTTTAACCTTAACACTGTTAGTTTTAAATAATTTTTTTTGTGTCGATCATTGTTACTTTTAAAAAATTAAACTTAAGTTAATATTTGAAAATGTTTTATCAATATTTAAAAGTTTAATTTAAGATTGTATTGATAAAACTAAAGGTATTAGTTTTACCAAAAAAAAACTAAAGATATTAGGGTTAAAGGATTAAAAATACTCTTTTTAAAATTAAAGGACTAAAATAAAATTTTGTATAAAGTTAAAGAATTAAAAGTATAATTTAACTAATTGCTAAAGTATTTTATTTTTAAAGTGTGTATATATATATTATGGATAGAGTTGAAAATTTGTTGAATTTTTTAATATAGTTAGTAAAGTTTAAGGTTTAATTTATTGGTTTTTGTAAAAATGGTGAACGTGACTTATAAATAAGGTTAAAAAGAGTACTTATATTATAGGGAGTGGATCCCTGAAGGAAAATTTTGTGAATTTTATGAAGTTTTTCTTTTTAGGAGACAGAGAGATTTTATCTTTTATAAAAATAAAAAATAATTTATTTAAAAAAAATTTACAAAAATAATTCATGAGTCTCAACTTCAAAAATCTAATTCCTATAATATAACCACATTTTTTAAACTGCTATATTTGCCAATTTTTAAACTGTTATAGAATTTAAAAGGTGACATTTTTTTTAGCAAAAATTGAAAAAGAAAAATTGGGTTCATATGGGTTTCAATTGGCCGCTTGATAGGCTAGCGCTATTTATTTTTTTTATTTTTTATTTGGCCATAAGATAGGCTAAGTGTTTGAACATATAATGTAACAATTGTATTCGCTGCATCGAGTAGTGAAGATTAGAATATCACTAATAAAGTATCATATGCAAAAAAAAAAAATTAAATAAATAGGTGTCATCAATCATTGATGGCAAACTTTTACATAATAATCTTTCCACAAAGAATAACCTGTAATAACCACCTCCACTTCATCCCAGCTATGCATGGGGATGTGTAATTATCATTAATATTTTTATTTTTTTAAAAAAGTATTAGAATACAACAAATGATAAAAATTAAAAACATATTGTGTAAATGGATAAAGTGTGAAGTAAACTAATAAAAATTCATAATTAATTAGATTAAATTATCAAAAACATTCCTATAAACAACATTAGAAGTTTTATTGGCAGAGCAACCATGCTCATCAAGAACCAATATTTTTAAACATTCCTAGCTTCAAACACGAGAAACAACAACAAAACAATTGGCCGTGTGGATAAAAATGGGATGAGGAAAGTACAAATCAATATGACACAAGCTCTGACCCTAGCTCTTATAAAAGGTGATTGTCTGACAAAGGCCAATATAATAAGAAACTATCTTCTTCTCATAATAAATGAAAAATTGGAATTAGACAGACACATCAATATGCAGTATACAATCTTTTATCTTAGCCTTTGATCCAAACATTTTTCCTCAAGAATTAACATGCATGTCTTCCAGTATGTGTAACTATGAGATCTGTTCTATTGCACAACCTCTCTTTTATGGCTTTATTTTTTATTTTTCAAAACCCTGACACTATACAATTAAGCGATGCTCTACCATGTACTATTAGAAAAATGTGAAGTAGTGAGGCAATTTAGCAAAGAATTTCTATTCCTCTTTAAAATGTCAAATTAGTGAGTACATTGATGAAGGATATTGATTTCATAGTTTGATTTAAAATTAGCGAGAAAATATCAATTTCTCTTTAAAATAAAATAATTGTGAGAAAAATAGTGAGGGACTATGGATTATGTCCCTACCTAATTACAACAAAAATATTGACTTTTGAAAATGACTTTTAATTTTAATTACTTATATATTTAATTATTTTCATTTAAAAAGTAAAAATAAAATTTAAAAATTAACCAAAATATTCATAATAAAATTATTTAATATTTAATATTTTCTTTATTTTAAGTTCATTTTCTTTAGAAAAAATAATATTTTTATTAAAAATATAATACAAAGAGTTATATGATAC